CTGTGTTCTATAATAAAGTTGTAGGTTTGATCTACAATAGTCATCACTATAGAATTCAAGAAATTGTGCTTTGAATATCTTGGTTTCGGTGTGTGCAAAACTTACATTGATCAATGAATCTAATACGATATGTCATTTTATGGTTATTATGATGATAGCAAAAACAACTTTATTTGATCGCACACAATAAAGTTTTATTCTTATAGTATGATTATAGGGGAAGTAATTAGAGTGAATGAAAATTTGCGTTGATTGATCTTAGAGAGTAAAACGGAACTCGTAGCAAAACTTCCAGTGATAACCTTCTGTAAATCGTTAAAATGGGGACGGTCATGTTTTAATTGTCTTAACCTCAACCTGAATGAGTTCCTAACACGCTTAAAGATGCAGTTGCATAGTAGGCTCGATTCGGTAGAAAGAGCGAAGGAAATATGTAAAAGCAAGTAGCAAATCATTTCTGACACTAATGAGAAATTAAAAATTTTGGTGTAACAGAATGAAAGATATTTCATAAATTCCACAGTGCGTAATTTTAAACTTGTTCTCTATATATATCCATTCAAATTTCATTTAAATTCTTCTTTACATGGTCAGTGGTTATGCGTTCATGTTTTATTCCTTTGAGCAAGATTTTTGCTTTTGAGTTTCGTGGGTTTTAGTCAGTTAATTTATTATCAAAGCTCACAACGTTTACATGCCAAAGACATTATTAGAAGAAACGGTCAAATGCTTTATTATTGATTTTCATTTTGAAAACATTAATGCGATCATTTTATTTCTTGAATCGATGAAAGCTCCATTATCTAAAAAAGATTGATATTTTGCAAATGATTTAGTGAATCTCTTGAGTCAGAATGGTCAAAATTAACCCAAATCTCGGGAGCGAACGTAATTCTTAACAATAATAACTAATGCTTTTTAGAGATATGGAATCCGCAATAATGATAATCACTTGTGCTCTATGCTCATTGGATTGTGCCATTAAAATACTATTTCATGATAGTTTCGCTTGTCACATGCCTCTAGCCAATTAGACATCGGGATTCAACATCTGCAGTGTAAACAGCTTTTAGTGCAGAGATGCCAACTGCGTCTCTGAGGAATCTGAGCTTATAAATAGATTTAGGGATAGTTCGACTGATAGCTTCGGTTGGTGGGTGTTGTCTGGAAAAATTCATTAAACAAGTTTGCCAATTTCGTGGGAGACTCGATCACTGATTGTCCAATATTGACGGACATATTTTGGTGAATACCGGTACGCTGATTTGTAAGTCAATTGATTATTTTCCAAGTCGTCTTGCTAATATTTTTCCTGGCTACCATTCTCTTGGAGTTGAAGTACTTGAATTTTGTGTTTCTCAATAAAATCCTATGGGCTGCTTTAAGTGCCACAAATCGGTGTTTCAGACCAGGGTCCAGGATACATTTTTTGTAGTACGTACAGGTTGTTTAGCTTTTGGTTTGAAGAAATTATTTCCATGGCTTTGTTCGGAGTGTCATCGGACGTTTTCTGAGTGGAAAACAAACCATATAGTAGTGTAAAAAAGTGTCAAAGAAGTTATTGAATTTATCATTGACATTCTCCGTTTCGAAAACGTTCTCCCAATATCCGCTTGTAAGAAGCTCTAGAAAACGATGCATGTCATTGTCACAGTATATTCTCTTACACAAGAAGGTGGTAGGCCACTGCACAGAAGTTCCAGACGCATCCCAGATTTTTATCAGTTTATGATCGGAAAAATGGATATCAAGTAGTTCATAACAGCGTAAAAAGCGTAAATTAGTGCAAATGTTGTCAATGGCTGTGTGAGATTTTTGTGTAACCCTAGTGGCCGACTCCACAATGATTCTCAAATTGAAGGATTGTAATACGTTCCTAAGTTCTGTATACTTCTCATCATGGCACTCGAAGTTAATATTGAACATCAAATTCAGCTGGTGAATAATTGTGTGATAATTACTGCCCGGAGGCCGATAAATATTTACAACATTAATTTGTATGTTTTTGTAATGCCACTTAATGCAACACCCTTCAAAAATTCTTTCAACGGAGAACGATGTTACGTCAATTGGGTATACAATCGTGTCGAAACGATGCCATATCGCACAGCCACCGCCCCTTGCAGTAGATCCACTGATTGAGTTCGATAACGAATAGTTGTCGATTTGATCACTATGGGCCCAAGTTTCAGTAAGACAGGTAGTAATGGTTGACTGTCTTTCAGTAGCACTTCAAGATTATTTTCTTTGTTGTTAATACTTTGGACATTCAACAAAAATAGCAATCTTAGGAGTTAGGTTTTAGGAAGATTGGTGGCTAGTCGGAATAAAAAATGGTTCATTCGTGCTCCCCGTGGGGCGATTTCAGGGTTTCAAATAACTCACTTGGCACTGACACATGAAAAGAGCTGTACTCATCTGGCCGCTTCGAATTAAGTTTGACACATTTGACTTCATCAAAATCGTGACCTTTAAATGTTCAATAACTTGTTGAACCGTTACTGTAGGATCTAAATTGTAGGCATGGAGGTGAGAGAAGGTTTTTACTCCTTTTAAATTTATTCCAACTGCTGATCCTTCAATAAGCGGCTTCTTTGGCTTCCTTCGTTTGGTAACCTCTATGAAGTCTCCATCGCCATCGAAGGTTCTGGTATTTACCACAAATTTGGCATTTTGTGGTGGTGGTGGTGGAGTTAAAGCATTTTGAGGCAGATATTTAATAGCGGCGTGTACTTGGACAGCACTGCAGGCTTTGGCCACGGATGGAGGTCTAATTAATTGAGTAGTCATCTCTGTTGAAGTATTAATCTTTGAGATAGCTCTTTTATTTATGTTAGAGCTGGCATTTCCAGCAGATACCGTTGAGGCATACGATGTAGATATTGTTTGTTTATTAAATGTCGCCTTGAGATTATAGCAAGTTCATGTTTAAGGTTCGTGTTTTCATTGATAATGGACTGCATGTTATGTTTTAATGCAGTAATTTCGGGTAGAATAATTTTGTTGAAAGCATTTTCAATACTTAGTTGCATTAAATGAGCAATATTAGAGTTTATACCAGTGGCATTACTTACGGGATCGGTCGTTTCAGTGGACGCACATGCCGATGGGGGTTCATTTAGTACCTTGCAACTAGCAACCATCCCACGATTTCGCCACTGGTTTTTAGAAAATTTAGATTACTCTCACTTAATCCAACACATTTTCGGAAGCGTAACAGGCTCCACACACTTGCGACACTTAACGCGCCATTTTAATAATAATTAATTTAATAATTAATTCGAATTATTCATTCAAACGGAGCATCATTATTTTTCATTTGCTTATATTTTCACTTCAAGTACTTTGAGCACTACTTCGAGTACTTTGGGTGAAATGTACATCTACAGACATGGAATGTTAACGCTATGACGGACAAAAACAAAATTATCAGTAAAACCATAAAAGAACCGGTCAAATATAATCGGAAGTTGGAAGACGCCTAGTGACACTATTTAAACAAATTACCGACAAGGAAAATATATAGGTAGAAGGTTTCCTATATTTTTTAATTGCGCCCCTTGTGAAAACTTTCTCCATAAATCACTCTATACAGCATGTTGGATAGCCACGAATTAATTGATTTACTTCTTTCCCGAAAAAGCTTTTGATCTAAATAACTTTCTGCCGAATGGCATATAAAAAAATAAATTTATTTAGGCAATTTTACATGTAAACGTGATATATTTCTTTCAACAATTTCTGGAAAACAAATTCTATGAATAAGGACTTTAGAAATATTACTCGGGTGACTGCTCCATTGGAGATTTTATAATCCAAATAAGCCACGAAAGTGCTTTACTTTTGATACGAAAAATGGGAGGAAATATGTAACTTTCTTGGCTTACACTAGTATAATTGAAGCAATATCTTTCCCTAACCGCTTTTTTGTAATCTCTTGTGAACGTCTGCCTTTTTAAATTTTAAGCATCTTTTGCCTATGATAGCTATAGGTACTGATGCAGAAATTGCCTCCTTTTGTTCTTGTTTGAGTTTCAGTTTGAGTTCAGTAAGCACTAGCACTAAGAATCTATGGGGAGCAACATATAATTGAATGAGTGTAATTTATATTCGATAAAAGCAAATAAGTCGATATAACAACGGGGAGAGCTTTTTTTAGTCTTACGCGGTCATGCGGCCGCGCGCTTTTGCAAAACCTATCAAAATATTGTAAAGTGCATTCGGCTTTTCTATATGCGCTCTATAATTAAATTCATCGTATACGGTCTCCCAATTTCCCATTATGTATAATCTCAATTCCGCTGAGGAAATATCCCTCGTGATTGTAAATTATGTGGAATTGGCTATCTTGAATAATGTATTTATCTTTAGGGGTTAAAAGTTTTATTATTTTAATTAAAATCGTAATCCTAGATTAGCGTGCTTATTTGATTTATCGGGGGTGAGAACGAATAATTCAATTTGAATGACGCGCGGCGCTAAAATCTGGGTGGTATTAACGTGGGTTTTATAAAATAGAGCAGATTTGTAAACAAATTTGAGGGCAGATCCCACAAATAGACATTAAAGTTAATTTTATGCAAGAAGAGGCATTGTTCTCGGTAATCACAGGAGTAATGATTCAAGAAATATTCTGGCACAAACCGTGTATGCTAATGCGATAAGTAAAGTATGTAAAATATTTAAGATTGTGGTTCAGATGAAAGGAAATTTATCCGTGGTTAGATGACCGAAGAAGTAACAAAAAGGTAGCAGGTAAATGCACGAATTGTCACATCCCATGATCCCTTAAAATGTACCTTTACACTGTTCCCGGCAATTAAGCGCTTCCGCATTCGTTATAAAAGTGTACATTAAAAACTCCCCTGTTACAAATAAATTTCGCCGTCACGGTTACTAATACCCTTCTTACTCATGCACAAAAATTACAATAATCATTAAAATGCGGTGTGTCATTTCATGTTGGTTACCTAAATTACTACTTAAAAAATAGAACTTACGTAAAACTTGTAAAAAGAAGAATCCAACTAAAGCTAACTCAGTGTGATGCATTTTGCAGTCTTTGGTATTATTGGATAAAACACAAAATTAAAATTTAAATCTTTGAAAATTTTGTACGCATAATAAAAGTTCGACAATTACTTAAACCGCGCAAATGTACGTATCAACTCGAATTCGGCATTCTTCACGCGACTACGGCAGAAAACTGAATGAAAGTTCTCTGGTAGTCAGTTTATGAATGGAAATGTGAAGAGTATTTTACTGGACCAACACCCACTACCACACACGCACCAGGTATCTTCGCTCACATGGTGCCTGGAGGCACAAACCACGCAAGCGCAGGTATCTTAAGCTGCATTTCGAAAAAGAACTTATGCTATTTTTGTAAACCGAATGCAATAATTTGTGGTCTTAATTAAGAATCAACTCGAGGAAACATGAGTAATCAATACCAATAGTAGCATTCCTCTCACCTGCAAACGTTTGCGGTAAGTTTGCAAAGTATGGAATTTCAATTATTTAGTTGGTCACCCTAGAAATTCTTGGGATGTGCTGAAATCAGTAACGTTCTCTGAAAGGAATTCTAAAACTTCTTTTGGTATCGTCTTTTGTGATGGTTTCATTGTTGTAGAGAGCACTTTCTATTATCGTACACATTTAGACTGTCCCACGGAAGATTTGGACGAATGCGAATCCACTTACCCGGTAATTTGTCGAGCAATTAGAACTGTTGCAAAGGGTTTGATAAAATGCATACAATCGTTATTACATTGGTTTAGAGGCTTACACAGGGCAAATTAACATAAAAGCCTCATTAAAAAATAGGAATTCCACTTCAGTAACAAACAAAGATTATGGGACACACGGGGTGTGGACTGAAATGTGTTCGTAATAAAACATGTTAATGCAGAGTAGTACCTACGTATAAGACATACTGTACGTTTCGTTGTTACAAAATCGCATTGAACCCATAAACGGTGTTAATCTACGCTCTAAGCCCTAAGGAAAAGGATTAAATCGTTTTTCCGACACGCATTTCTCGAATAAGAAACAGCGAACATCATTAGAAAAGTATAGAAAAATTGCAGTGAATAATACTTTTACACGTAAAAAGTTTCGTGTTGACTTCTTTTGATAACATATTTCCAGGATGTTAATCTATGGATAGTTGAGCTACTCACCGTGTACTTACAGACTTTTAGCACAGTACCGCAATTGTTTTCGAAATCCTAAAATTCGTACAATTTTCTTTTCAGCACGGTGTATGATAAAATGAGACAAAATTCAATTTCTTTCCCAACAAAGGTGATGTACCTTGACGTTTAGATACGTTTCAAATGAACTAACTCAATTTACCCGTAGATTTACCCCAACAAAAATTTTGTGTTGTATGACTTTTGTTAAGACCGGTTAAACGTTTATACAGTACAAATTTAAGCAAGGAAAGGCGGAAACAAGCAGCAAGTGCGTAAAATTTTCACCGTTTTATAGAATTCACGTGATGATTTTGTCCGTCCGTCTGTTCTTCGTCTAACTCGAAAACGAAAAAAGACAGCGATGTCAAACCATCGTCAATCCATTTCTGCGAGTTCTAGAATCAGGGCTATTAAATGTAAATCGCGTTTCTGAATGCTAGCCGAGTGTCAAAAAATTCCTGTACTGAAAATTAGTGATCTTGCAAATTTATTTCACTTTGTCTTGTTTGTAAAAAGTCAAAAATTTCCAAATTATTTAGTTAAAAATAGTTGTATATAGATAGTTGTATCATCCCGTGCTTGCTTTTGTTTGTAAAGTGAAATTGCTGTGACATGGTTGGTGATATTCTTGCACAAATGTCACGGTTGTTTCTTCAGCCCAACGAGACGTGATGCACGTTTGCGCATTTACGACCATTTTCAGACTGCTCTGCAACGTGCATAGAATAGAAATATACAGGGTCGCAATAAAAGATGGGAACAAAGCATGAAAATTAGAACGCTTCCATTTGAGATTATTTTGAGATTAAAAAATTTTGAGTACGACCGCCCGCCATCAACTATTTTAAAATGGGAACATAGGTCATGTCATACGTCATTAGAAAAAAACCTTTTTTTTCTCATTTTTCTTCTCAAATTAACAGAACGTCAAGAATTAATCTAAAAGCAATGAATTTAATAAGTCTCCATTATTTTCTAATTTAACACCATTTAGATTAAAGTCGTAAGAAAAAGAAAAAAAATAAGCTTTCTAATGACATGACATATGTTGCTACTTAACAAATTCAAGACGGCAGTTGCACTCAAAAACCATGTGTCAAAAAACATTTCTTTAACCTCAAATTATGTGAAATAATTTAAAATGGAAGCCTTCTAATTTTCATGTCTATATCTCCAACGGTCAGAGTTTAGATTCCATCTTTAAGAGCGACGCTGTATATGTAGTTTAAAATTATAAAAAATTAGAATTTCTGCAAGAGAGAGGGCACAAATAAGGTAGAAACCGTTTAAGATTTTGAGAAAAATAAATTTTCTATAATGCCACTCTTTGGGAAAAGTTCAATTTCGTCGCTGCACCTTACAAAGTGGCGTTTTACTAATTACAAGAAACAATTTCGAATTACATTAATTTTCGTATTTGTAATTATAAGAGGAAATTAGAAATTCCGTAAAAGAAAAGACGTCATATAGTTGGGATTTTGAAAAAAATAGGTTCTTCATTATATTCTATCGAGGTGGAGCTTTATTCGGCGTTAATTTTTTTTGGAGCAAGTTGCTAATCGTTAGGAACAGTATTCCGACAGGGCGTAAGTAAGATACTCCGGAGGAAGCGAATTCAGGATGCGAGTTTTGTTTGGGGGCGAGTTTTTCTACACACCCAAAATTTACATCTGTAATGTAAATTTACACTTTTTTCTACAAGTGCGATGGATTTTGACCATAGGATTCATACGTAACACTACAAACAATATTCCGTCATGAGAGGCTCTATCGTGTCAACAAGAAGATAATTTTCGTAAGTAAGATATCAGAGTGTGTTAGGGAATGACTAGCGAATTGGGTACTGTAACAAGTGCGTCTCCAATTTTGGAAAGACTGTGTTTCTCTTTTTCATTGCTCGAATTTGCGTAGTGAATACCCTCGAACTCTAACTAAAACTCTGTGAAAATCTAACCACTTTACATGATATGTTGTGATCTTCGCTTTGCCATTTTTTTAAATGTACCTGTGCTATGGAGATTGCTCATGATCAGGCGCTCTTCATATAATAAGTACTATTGTTGATGCACTGCTGCATTGTAGCGGAGTATGTGGTAAGTGGGCAGTATTGTTCAATGCCGCAATCTTGAGAGATTCTGTGTTACTAATTGCTTGTGATTATAAAAAGTAATTAAATTTTGCAATAATTGCACATTCTCAGCTCTTTTCATTTACAGTTGCTTTAGTAGAGTATTTAACACGAATCTGTTTGCAGTAAATATAAATTAATGCCGATTTACTATCAGTTCTTTGCAGAAACTTCGAATTAACGCTCACATGCGGTTTAATTCAAAGTTGTAAATATATACAATATCCACACGCAAACCTACGGATAGTCCGATGTTTCCCGGGAAGGGCAGTTAAAGCTAAGCTGTTCAAATAGACGCATGCCGCGGCCACTGAGTGGCCTCCAAGCATGGTGTCGCCAATCGAGGGAGCCAAGTGCCTCTCAAAGCTACCGTGGAATCGACTATGGCTACCTTTTATTTTCAATAATAATTCTATTTTCTACACTCCCATGATATTTTTTTAACTTAAAAACGGAAAACCATGTCTAAGCTACAATTTTGCTATCAAAGGAAAGTGAAAGTATAAGAGTTGTGTAAGAGTGTGTAACTGTAAGTTGGCTATCTCTCACATTATCTTTATGAACAACAGTTTTTTTTGTGATTTCTGGTTGTTTGTCACTAAGGAAGAAATTGGCTTTAATAGAAACATTGTGGTCAATATTTCAAAAAATATCCATAAATAAGAAAATTGACACTGCGCAATCTGCGCATGCGCACATTAATCGTCAATATTTTTCTTGGCTGAGGTGCCAGAGGTATAAGTTACCGAATGCAAAAAGAACGAACTAAATATCTGTAGAAGTAGTTAAGGGCTCGGACGGACGGACGGAGAAAGTGGCCATAATAGCGGAAGATGCGCTAAAAAGTAATAGTAAAAAATCAATGTTTTTTATGTACCATAATTTTACACTTTTGCCGTTTATTGTGCCTATATATTTTATACGCTAAGATGCTTCTTATAAAATGAAATAGAAATGACGTGTCAATGAATAGGGTGTGCATGCGCGACTTTGTTATTTGTATTTCTGAAATTTTAAAAGAAGGAAGGAAGGAAATAAATAAAGTAAATTCACATCAAAAAATAAATTGTACATACTAAAAAAATGTAAAACAATTATTGCGCATTCGTTATTTGTGAACCAATCCTTCTTAAATTTTAGGACAAGGATTCTTCTTATAAAATGAAACACTTTTTATTTGTGCGAATTTTTATGAAATTAGAAAACAAATGGAAAATGAATGCAAATGATGTCAAACAATGGATTGCTTATGCCCAGATCTAATTTTAAGTTTTAACCGAAGATGCTTCTTACAAAATGAATTGTAACTACACGGAAATGAATGGATCGCGCTTGCGCAGTCAACTTTTTTTATTTTCAAATGGATTTTTTGAAAATTTTAACAAAAGGTGCATGTATAAAAAATAGAGTGGGCATGCGAAAGTTCGAGTTCTTTATTTCTGAACGGAAGGTCTTAGCGCATTTCCACAAAAATAAAAAATGTGCCATTGTGGTCACTTTGTGCGGCCGTCCGTGTGTCAGTCTGTCTGTCCCTACGGATGTGTCGCTTTCAGATATTTATCTTAAGAGCACCCTTTTTTAATATTTGGTTCATTATAGTGTCGAGGATTGCACCAAAGAAGGAATTTTCGCAAAAAATCTACTTTTTGACTTCTAATAATTTGACACTTTTGCCGTTTATTGTGCTTATAAATTTTATAAGTTTGTTGCATTTTGATTACCCAAAACTTAAACATGAAACTTCCGCGACTTCAGTAACCATTTTGGATCAAAGAAACCCAAAGTTCGGTAGCGGAAACGGTTAAATGCATTGATAAAGAAACTGTCTTGGATATCACGGTTTAACCCTTTGGATCATTGTTTATTGTGTGCATTTTCTGAAAAAATAGATTGCACATGCGCAAACCCTCTTTATCA